GTATTGCTCGAATTCATATCGAAGTAATCATACGACTTTCAAACTTTCCTTATATAGTCCAACAATTCATTCATTTATCTAATATGGGTGTATTCTGTCTGGAGGTTTGTGGAGGTTAATTAATTGATTTTAGGTCGAAATTCATCATGGACTGATATCAGTTGGAGGGACACTGGAAGCACTGGACAGCTCTTTCGTCCTACCTAAAATCAATTTATAAACCTCCACATACCTCCACATGGAATTAATCTAGCACTCATTGGTAACTAGCTTCGAGACGTGATTCCTGAAGTTCCAATGCGAAGTCATGACCATTGGAGTCAACCAAGTCGAACATGAGGACAGTTACTCAATGACGACATTGGATGCAGGTGGGGCTATATCGTGAACTGACAGAAGTATGATATATGGATCATTGGATTTTGATCCAGTGGCTCAATGGTAACGTGGTGACCGTGGGGCCTTAAGGTCATGGGTTCGATCCCTGTTGGTGTGGGGTCGTGGATGGACACTACTGAGAAGTCCCATACTGGGAGGAGACAGCTATCCAGTACTCCCAGGTCTCCAGTGTACCTCCAACTGATGTCAGTTTATGATGAATTCCAACCTATAATATGGATGTAGTCAAAATGTTGCTAAGGGAAGGATTTATCCATCCGTTTCACCGACTGAAATATTTTCTGCTTATTTCTGTTCATTAGTTTTACAACATTCTGTCTAGGAATTTCACTTCAGTGGTAATTTAATTGGCAAAAGTTGCTGTAGAAAATTCTCTACTAGAATCTAACTCATTAAAAAAGAATTTAGCATCACGTTACCCCTTCATTATGATCATTGGTATTGTAATAACCATTAGTTTACAGTTGTTTACTAACCGCGTCTACGTGTGCGTGTGTGTTTGAGTGTTTGAATGTGACCAGGTTTATAATAATGGCTCAGCATAGTAAACTAACAAATCTAGTGCTTAGACTTGCAAAACGCATTGATCATTATAAATCAACTTTTGAAACGAAGTCAGCATGGTAAAGGTGTTTGAGGAAATATAATTTCTATCTGGAGGTTTGTAGAGATTTATTACTTGATTTTAGGTTGGGATTCTTCATGGAATAATATCATTTGGAGCACCATTGGATTCCGACCCAGTGGCTCAATAGTAACGTGTGGACCACGGAACCGGAAGGCCCCGGGTCCAATCCCTATCCGGGGTTGTGGGTGTGCACTGCTGAGGAGTCTCATACTAGGACTAAACAGCTGTCCAGTGCTCCCACGTTCTTAATGGTTCTGCAACTGATGTTAGTTCGTGGTAAATTCCAACCTAAAATCAATCAATAAACCTCCACATAGAATTAATCTAGCACTCATTGGTGACTACCTTTGAGAGGTGATTCTCGAAGTTCCAATGGGAAGTCATGACCAATGGAGTCAATCAAGTTGAAGATGAAGACAGTTACTCAACAACGACACTGAGTGTAGGTTGCGTTATATCGTGAACTGACAGAAGTATGAAATGTGGTCCATTGGATTCCGACCCAGTGGCTCAATGGTAACGTGGTGACCGTGGGGCCTTAAGGTCGTGGGTTCCACCCCTGGCCAGGATTGGTCATAGGTGTCCGCTATTGAGGAGCCCCATACTAGGACGAAAAAACTAGAACTTGTCCAATTCGGAAAGGTCAACGTACTTGGGGCATAAGCCGTTATATTTTTTGAAAGTCTAACAACTTCCTACCGTATAACCTAGATTGAAGTAGGTGATATGAGTTTGAATATAGATGTCCTGACATGAGGAGTGACTCTACAATGACATTGAAGGCCATCTCAGCAACCGCTGAGATAATCGTAGACGTTTCTCGATTCTATGACAAACTACCTTCAAACCATAATGCCGAAACCTGGTTGGTTATTTTAGCACTTGCTAGGATTGCTTTTAAAGTCACTGTGATTTAGGATATGAATTTAACGCTTAAGTTTTAGTTTTGTGTGGTTTTGTCCGTTTTGTAAATTAAAACATTAGGTAGTGAGGAAGGCAGAAGTTACCAGTATTTCATTTGTAACCAGAAGTATCGCATAACGAAGTCGTATAACACTAAAAACGAGCATGTCATCGTACGTGAGCAAAAACTGCTAATCACCTGGCGTTAGATTTCGAAGAAATAAAAATCACCATCAATATATTAAGGAAACTTAACTGCGATTCAGCCCGATATTAAGCTATTAGCTAGCGATTTCTTGGAAGTCGAATAATTCAGCCAATGAACCACACCACGTGTATAACACTGGTAAGACGAAGCACTCAGTCGGAAGATTCATAAGTTATCATAGGTGAACTATATACATTTTGTCTATAAATCTACCAATGTGAACCATTAAACCTAAGTGAGGATACTACGTTATCCCTCAAGCAGACAGTTAAGACTGGAATGCATCTAGATTCCTAAGTAGATTATCTTGAAAGAATGTAAGCCTTCTTTCCTATGGTAAATGACACTCGCAGGATACATATCATCAACAAAGTTGCTGGCTGCTGTACAGAATTAAATTAATTTATGAAACTGCATTCTTGATTGTTACTTTTTCACTCTTCCGAATATTACACCTGTTACAGTATTCATGTTTGCTGAAGAGAATGAACTTTTTATCAGGAAAATAATTTATCCCAAATAATCTGTCTGGCTATCGAGAATAGGTTGAATCATACGCATCTTTATCATAAAGTTCATTTGCTTCGGGATATGTCGACTGTCTCATCTTGCATTTGCTTACATCTCCATTTTCAGTGTCACATACTCATGCATTTCCACCTTAGTGTTTTCTTATGTATATTTGGAATATCCACAAATTTTGAATTGTATACGAACTAACAGTTTACTTTCTTGAGCATACGTATTTTTTAACATGCGTGGTCAGGATAGATGCATTAAATTGCATGAAATTTTACACTTAGAACAGAAATAATAAAACTGAAACAGAAGTCAAATGATCGTTTCTAATCAGATTCACTAAACGAACGGGCATAAAGCACTCCAATGATGGTTAGGATGTTATTTTAATGTCCTGTCATTTCTCATTCTAAGATAAAAGGATTAGAAAAGTTAAGGTCAAAACTATTTAAGCCTTTAAGTTTGACATGGAATTCCTAAATACATGGGGAAACACTATCAACTTCGTTTAGGGAATATGTTCCATTGTATACGTGATCTTATGTATGTTTATTCTTGAGACGAGGTTCCATTTAGTAGCCTATTTAGTGTGGATACTTGAATAGACTATAACTTTTCATCGACAGCAGATCTCACTGACTTCAAATAATTTCTACCAGTCCCTTTTCTAAGCTCATTTTAGCATAAAGGTTGTGCATAAAATAATCGGCTTACAGTTGAATAATGTATTATCACAGCTGATTGATTAGGTTTGTATAGGCATGTAATCTCCATGATCTTTAATTTTGTGTATGAGATCCATCTTTTCCCTGTCTACCTGTTAAACATAACTGGGATCTGAAATATCCTTTAAAAAGAAAAGTAGATTCAACCTCCTGGTTTCTATGATGTATATGGAACTAAATGAGATTTACTGCATAAGACGTTTCGCTGTGACAAATTTCTTTGCAAACTATTTTATTTTTCTTATGAACAAATTTGGCCTGTTAATTACCCTGTCTTAATGAGCTTTGCGCATGGCTGCCTCTCTACATACAAATATGAGAGTGTATGCCATTGTACCTACCATAATACTTTTAGCTTTAGCTAACAATGCTTGTTCACGTGTTAGTGCCATACCTCTGAGGCTTGTATTAATTAAGAATCTAAAATAAGCTAATGTATGTTATTATTATCATTATTATTATTATTATAGAGTTTTTTTGTTGTGCAGTAGTGAAGGCGGTACCGGGTATTAATATTAGCGGATACAGTATAGTATATATTAGTTAGTATCATTGCTTATGGTTATCGTCGCTTCTTCATTCCAGTGTGCTTCAATTCTTGGTCTTGTCACTTTTCCTCACCTCATTTACTTTCCTAATTTCATTTTGATTTATTCCTTTTGTCATGTTTGTTTCTCTTTTCGTATACAAAGAGTGAATTAGGCACAGAGAAAGAGAAAAGTAGAAAAAAGGGTTACTGGAAGCATAAGAATAGTAGGAGAAAATAACGGTGCCCATAAAGAATTGGGTTGTTTTTTATCTTGTTGTTAGCCGACTTTGTATGCAGGACAAGTGAATGAAAACAAGAGTAGAGGTTGGAGAAGAGACAGCATATCACAGCATACAAATAAACCCATCACCAATGATAATTACAAAAATTTCATTTATATCTGCGTAGATTACTTTCTACGCGTATATACGTGCTCACGTGTGTTTGTTTTCATGTACATATGAGTATATGAAATACAAAACACACAACAGCATGCAAATTGGGTTGTTTTTTGGAGCTGAGCAACTTGTGGCTATCAGTCAGTTGTCATTCAACTTTTAAAAGATGATTACATTGTAATTGTACGTGTTCAACCGTTTCTTTGTTTACTTTGTCGTAAGCGAGAGTTTTTTCGAAAGTCAATAAATTCGTTTATCTGAATAATAGTCTACTAAAACTTCTGTGTTCTATTGTGAAGTTCGAAACTTCAATCTATACTTCATCAAGCACACTCTAAATCTTAGCATATACCTGTTCTTTTACCATCACTGAAAGTCGGGTGTTAAAACAGTATTCAGTTTGATTTTTCAAAGTGACCTAGTATATCTTATGTTATGTGTTTATCAACTCGGTATTTAGTCTCCCTGGGTACGAACCTTAAGGTTACTTAAACTGACTGCAGTTATTCCAGTTGACCTTTCTGTTTCCTTTCTTAGTATATGCGTAGGTGTAATGTATGCTTCGTAGTTCGTAGTTAGACAAGTTTGTTCATTCAGTACATAAAGTGTTTGGGGTTGTTTCATACACAAAAGTTGGGGTATTATCATTATTGCTTATTGTATCAAAATCGTTTTCTTACAATTTCTCTAGATTGTTTGGCCTTTCGGGAACATGTGCAAAATGCAGAGTTCAAATCCCTCCAGACGAACTTGTAATGAAATGTCAAGACAAAGTTTATCATGTGAATTGTTTCTGCTGTACCCAATGTCATTCTCCATTACATCCCGGTGATAAAGTTTGTTTTGTAGATGGTAATTTATTCTGTGAGCATGAATTCCCTCATTTATTTTCCGGACCACAAAAATTAAGGTTAACATCGTCAGCTGCAAGCCCTTGTACTTCGAATGATTCCGATATGGGTCGTGGTCAAATGATCAATGAGTTACCATCAAAAATTAATGGTTATCCTAACCCTTCCAGACAGTTTAACATGAATCCTTCATCTTTAGAACAACAACAACCAGGAGGTTGCGGTAACAATATCCCTACTAAACTTATATTTCCACAGTCTGACATTATATCTTCACTTAGCCCCCATCCATCCAGTCCAAACATGTCATTTCCTATGCAAGTAAATCAAGACAATAATCAATCACTTATGCCGCATGGTTTCTATGTCACGGACATTGAGCAGCCTTTTAGTGATACACCAAATAATGTACAAAACACATCAGATAAGCCGTTAAAATCCTCTATGATGAACACAACAACTGAAACAACTAATGGTCGTAAGAAGCAGCAAAAGGTTAGTTGATTCACTAATACTGTGGTGTTTAATTAATTGTAATTCTTTAACTTTCATTTGTCTAATTTTTTCTTCATAGTATTACTGCTAGCTAATTGAAATGTCATAATTGGTCGTTCTAGAGATTAGAAATTGAGGTGAGCATACAAGGCGTGTGAGGTCACGATTTGATTTAGTCGCTTTTCTAAACCTTCAATTTGTTATAACTACAAACTACTTCTAGCCCATCACATGAAAAGTAATAGTCTTGTACTTACTAAACAATTCATCTATCTTGAAGTTTAAGGTAGCACTCATCACGGACTGACATCAGTTGGAGAACCATTAAAAACCTTGGAGCACCGGACACCTGTTTCCCCAACAGTTCACACGCAGTGACTGAATGGTCAACACATTCGCCGTGAAACCTGAAGGTCCTGAGTCTGGTCCCTAGCCGGTTTGTGGGTGAGTACTTCTTAGGAGTCCCATACTAGGACAAAACGACTGTCCAATGCTCCCAGGTTTCAAATGGTTCTCCGTCTGATGTCAGTCCCTAATTAATCTTTCGTCTACCCGAATGATTTCGCATAATGAGTCACTTATTGAACATCAATACTAGAGACCATGTATCTGTGATATCCCTGACAGTTAACAACTTTCTAAAACAATGGTTACTTCAAAAGGTTCCCTGAGAAGTAAATTCATTAGAACTGATTGGCTACCTGACAAAATCAACTAGAACCTCGCACAAAGATGCATCGGCTCAAGTTACCACTCTACTATAGTACACCAAGAACAGGAAGATAGAAAAAGAGTGGTATCAAAGAAAATAAAGTAGTTTGAGCGAATAAGCAATCTGAAGATAACGGTTAGTGCGAATATTCGAGCTTTAGGTGCCAATTAGTAAAAACATCTGTGCCATTATGACCAATTTTTAGTCATATCTCCAACAGTCCTCAACTACTGATTCCCATCGTCTCGGTGACCCCAAATCAGATAGTCTACATCTCCCAACACTACCTAACCTAGACCAATAGTAAGACTTCATCGACTAGTGTCACGTCTTGGTATAACCATCCTGAAGCCTCTTCCAGCCTAATCCAGCTTCCTCTAGCATGATGTGCCGAGGAAGGCGGTGGATCGGTAGGTAGGTATGCACAGTATATGTCCAAGATTCACTACTTCATCAATCGACTTATCTGTCTTGCCTAGTATCCTTCGCCTGACTGACCTCAACATTGATCACATGGTGATTCCACCAAACGCGAGCAATGCTACGAAGGCATCTGTGATCAGAAAACTGTAGTTACTTCATGGCTATGTCTCACAGTCGTATAACAGGACAGAACAGACTGTAGCGCAGTATACTCGTCCTTTGATAGATAGTCAGATATCTCACCAGTCGGCATCACAGATGACGCCAGTTGGCAAATGCCAAACTGGTCTTCTATATTTGAGCTGAGATGCCGTCAACAACCACCATTTGGGCTGATACAGCGTTTATGATTTCAATAAACAATGATAGGGCGCGGTTAATCAAATTTCAAACAATTCTTGTGTGTAGAAACGATGCGGAGTGTAGTTAAACTGTTTCAGAGCCTATCGACCACTGCAGTGATGAAGATAGACACGAGGAAGTCAAGGCAAAGCCACAATGACTATAATGAGTGACTACTATTGATTTAGTGATAATTTTTAACAGATATACAACAGCTCATACGATGACTACTCCAAGTATTCTAGGAATGCGAAAATATCTAAATCCTATTAGTTATCAAGTACAAATACGAATAACTTTCCTATTACCGTACTGGCTTGTTCACGAAGACGTGTATACAAGGCTGCAACGTTGAATGAAGCAAATCTAGATTAAAAGGGGGACGATTTGTTGTGAAGTTATTTGCGTGGCTTTCAAACAACTGTATTCATTATAGTAAAATTCTACACGAATTGTGGTCAACTTTACAGATAATTTAAGTGTTAGGTGGACTTCGGTCATCTATATATATATAGTAGGGATGGGTAGTGGCTAGTAGTGGAATCCAGGATACGCATTTCGTCCCATATGGGACTCGTCAGCTGGATGTACTCGCCGGCTCCCAGTGAGTGATGCTCTTCCCATCGGGATTCGAACTCGGGACTGATCGCTTCAAACCCCAGGGCTTGGTAGTCTAGTGGATAACGCTCTGGTGTTTAAAGCAGTCGGTTCCGAGTTCGAATCCCGGTGCGAACAACATCCACTGAGAGCCGGCAGGTGCATCCAGCTGACGAGTTCTAAATAGGACGAAATTCGCATCCTGGATTCCACCGCTAGCCATTGTCCATCATTATCGAGGCATCTGCGCAGGAGCCGATATCCCATCAGAGAGAAAGATCAATTCGATCCAATCAACGACGGTGTAATACAAGCAATAATGTATGTATATATATATTTTTGGCCTAGGCAACTGATTATTATCATATGTTCAGTGTGTCTTATAGCCTGGTACATCAATCTGTGCAGAGTTGTTCAGGTGGGTATTCATACAGTTAAGAGCTATCATCACTCAAGCTGAATCTAGTGGAACAAGAGTAATTCTGGGAGTACTATTTACTCAGTCACCTGAGACTAGTGATCATTCAATCTGTCATGTGCTATGTGTACTTTCGTTGAAACAAGTGACTCTGTCATATATCGTATAGTTTGATAAGGTTTGTTTAAATTTATGACCAAATATGCCTACAATTATTGAAATAAATCCGATTTTCTTAAGAGAAGACGATTCTTAGTGGAATAAAATCTCTATTGGTCTGCAATAAGTCAACAAAGTCTCCGAATGTTTCTACAAAATTCGTTTCTTCAACTGACAGGCAGTTTTTTGAGGTGCTACATATTTTCGCTGTTTGTCGAGTGAAATCTATCCTACAACTGAGCTATTCAGAATTTAAGGAGTTTTTGAAGCTTTCTAGCAACTGTCAAACTGTTACTATGATGATCACGGGTTCCCCTTGACTTCTCAATAGCTATGGCTCATTGATGTAGACAATTGACTTTCAACCAGTGGATCTCTGGCTCGAATCCTACTCTACCTACTGAGGTTCAGGTAACCAGGTGGTATCGTTAGCTGTCACTCAAGTGTGGCTTATTCCCTCCTACTGTACGGATGTGCACAGTTTCTGAGTTACACTTCGTCGACTTTCCTTAACTTCGGTTGAGACTTCTAGCTAACAATTACAAATCATCTTGCTTGATAAGCACAAGATTACTCTGTTAACGTGAATGTTCATTCATGACTACACAGCATGACTTCAAAGAACCATTATCGTCATTCATGGCGCTAAACTGTTCATATTACATTCCTATTTGTCTCTCACTAATCACTTTGGTTGTGGCATTTTTAAAGAAGGTTGAAATTCCGAAAGTATGTTCATATGCTGACAGATTTGTGAGGGCGGTTGATACTCCCCGGCTACCCACACCGTGAAAGGCTATTTCTTCTTAAGGTACCTGAAAGAGATTTGTGTGACCGCAGAGCCCATCGGACATCTGCTTGAGGCCTATCGCACGCAGCCTTTTGTGTATGATTATTTTGAACTTTTGTATTTTTGGGCTGGATGGTCGAAAAGAAACGACAAATGAACCAACACCGCCGGTCCGGGAGACCGTGGGGTATGGTGGAGTGTGTTATTTTTGGGGCCGACCTTTTCTAAACCCCCCCCCCTTCCACTGAGAAGGCAACATCGCACTACTGGTCATCCAAGGGAAACACCTTGCTACTGTCTCACCCCCATCCAGCTAGCAGTAGTACGACTTCGCCCTCAGACCCCCATCATAGTGTAGCAATTTACACTATAACGGTAACTGCTTTTCGTCTAACCACTACCCAACAGACCTTTCTGGTATGGTAGGACCTCGAGGGAACAAGCGTTCCACCAGCATAGCTCGTTGGGTCATTGTGATATGCAAGCCCGACCACCACGTCAAGGTAGCTGCTATCGGTCTAGATTTTCATATTAGATAGTTGTTATCAATCTAATTTTTTTAAATAATCTCCGCTTTCATTTCACAACTGTTATGTTTCCCACTTTTAGAAAGTGGACAATCGCCGTTGTCCTCCACTTCGTGTTTGTTGAGCCTGGGAGACTATTAAACATTGTGATTGGTCGTCAAGACCACAATTCCCGCCGATTTCAAACCTTTACATTGATTCAATTCCGTATCATTTTTATTCACTTCTTAAACATCAAATGAAAAAGAGAATGGAACATCGACTGTTCTTCTCTTCTTTCTTCTTGTTTCATAATGACATCGTTAATCAAAACCTCTATACAGGGAAATGAATACTTCAAGGACAGCAGAGTAATACGAATATCAGCTAGCAAGAATAAAAACATTCTTTTTTCTTTGAAACAATAATCTGTACAAATTATTTCTTTTGTCCCACTTCATACTGTTCAGATTACAAACTGACTAAAGTACAAACATTAATGAACATACTTCTTGTTATACACTGGGTAATGCTTGAAGGTAAGATCAAAATCTAGACCGCGGCCGGATTCGAACCAGCCATCATGTTTTTGTGTTTATTGATTTGAAGTGATCAGGTAGATACTTAAAACTCAAAGGATGTAATGCATTGTGTGGCTATAAGTATAAAGAAGGCATCGGGTTTATTCGTTTAACAACTGCTCAATTGTAAGCAACTTGTTTGATAGGATCATTTACTCAATGAAATGTACATTCTGTCCTAATAATATTAACCTTGCATAAGTTCTTTCAGAAGGCTAATGGATGAACTGGGAAATATGTATTGTCTGTAGGGTTAAAGTTCGAAAGAAGACAATTTATTGATTAAATCCACTTCGACAATTACTTTCGCTTTCCTTACTGAATATAGGATTATCTGAGTAAAACTCAGACTGAACTACACGAAAAGGTTTTCGAATAAATCCAGTCAGTTGAACTAATTTTCAGGATTAGTGTTTATGTTTAATTTTACAGTCAATAATGTTGCGAAGTAATTTCAACCTTCACTTTATGATACTCAATTCAAAGATTAACTGTGACTAAAAACATAGAGGATGTATAGCAAGAATAGTATAAGTAATCCGGTTGCAAAGTTAAGTTCTTATGTTTTGCAGCTGTTGTAAGCGACAAGTCGAAATGTGAGCTTATTGTCAATAGCCCTCTGTACTGAGAACAAATTGGGTATGGGGAAGGAGATTATTCATGAGTGATTCCGGCAATTTCGATTTGTTCTATCTGGAGGTGTGTGCGTGGAGGTTTATTAATTGATTTCAGGTCGGAATTCATCATGAAGAATCATTGGGAACCTGAGAGCAATGGACAGCTATTTCGTCCTAGTATGGGACTCCTCAATAGCGGATACCTATGACCAATCCCGGCCAGGGATGGAACCCACGACCTTCGGGTTCCGTCACCAACAAGTTACCATTGAGCCACTGGGTTGAAATCCAATTATCCATATTTCATACTTCTGTCAGTTCACGATATAGCGCAATCTACATCCAGTGTCGTCGTTGAGTAACTGTCCTCATGTTCGACTTGGTTGACTCCACTGGTCACGACTCCTCATTGGAACTTCAGGAATCACGTCTCGAAGCTAGTTACCAATGAGTGCTAGATTAATTCTATTTGGAGGTTTATTAATTGATTTTAGTTTAGAAGTAGTATTCATCATGGACTGATGTCAGTTGGGGAACCATTGAAGATCTGGGAGCACTGGACAGCTGTTTCATCCTAGTATGGGACTCCTTGGCAGTACGCACCCATGACCCGGCTAGGTATCGCACTCAGGACCTTCAGGTTCCACGGCCACCACGTTACCATTGAGCCACTGGGTCGGTTTCTAGTGGTTCACAATTTCCAACTTCTATCAGTTCACGACATAGCGCGACTATCACCCAAGGTCTTCAGTTAGCATGCACTTCACTTCCAACTGGTTGACCCCACTGGTCACGGCTTCTCATTAGAGCTTCGTGATATCCATCTGGAAGCAAGTCACTAATAAGCATTCATCTCAAAAATTGATTTTAGGTTGGAATTCACCAGCTAGAATTAATCCTAGCTTCGAGTGATGATTTCGAAGTTCCAATGAGGAGTCGTGACCAGTAGAGTCAACTAAGTCGAACATGGGGACAGTTACTCAACGACGACATTGGATGTAGGTCGCGTTATATCGTGAGTTGACAGACTTGTGAAATGTGGATCACTGGATTTCGACCCAGTGGCTCAATGGTAACGTGGTTGTCGTGGAACCTGAAGGTCCTGGGTTCAATTCTTAGCCAGGTGGGTTCGTGGGTGCGCACTGCTGAGGAGTCCCATACTAGTATGAAAAGGCTGTCCATTGCTCCCAGGTTTCCAATGGTCCTTCAACTAATGTCAGCCCATGATGAATTCCAACCTGAAATTGATTTAGATTTATGTTTGTTGAGCAGAACATAAGTCATTACTCATATGAATAATAGCACTTATCAGTTTTGCTTCACAATTTGTCAAAAGTGTATCTTTTCTGTATCCCAGTCTGAGTTCGCCCTGTAGGTAAGATATGTATCTACGAAAATGTGTTCACATATCTGTTATGAGCGACTAAGTTTCCGTACAGTCTTGCACAAAAGTTATTATCAGCCATTAAGGAGAAATGCTAGTCAGTCAGAATCAACATGGGACGTGATAATGCTGCGTAACAGTTCAAGCCGCCAAACTTCATATCAACATACCGAGTTAAAAGGCAACAAGATGAAAGTTAATATGACACTATCAAATGTCACGCTGGTGCTATAAAAGCTTAAGTTGATAAAATCTGTGTCGAGATTTGTCGCTCACTGATTACATGTAAAGGATCCGAATTTGAAATAGTGTAGAATATTTGTATCTCAGGTGGATGGTCTCGGTTATATTGTGTTTTCTGAGCTGGGTTTAGTCGTGAAGCTTTTATCGTTTTTCTGGACGACATCATTAGCACTAACCAGTATGAAGTGAGCTGTGAGTATCTCTCCATGAGTGATTTAGTTGCTCGCCCTGACGAAGTGGTTTGTGATTTGTTGCTGTGTCATTGTACAGATTTTCCTGTATTGACTGGTCACGGGAGTGCAACCAATTTCCTGTTGTCTAGTCCTGGGTGCAGACCGAATCTTATCTATCATATATACAATGTGGCGACCAAGCTAGGAAGCTCAGCATCGCGGTGCACATTAGTAGATGTTAGTTGGTCGGAGACAATCGGAAGGAAGCCTTGGACCTAGGTTACGTGCTTGTTGGCACTCGTCAGTAAGATGTATCTGCGACCTCGACGGAACTGATGTCCCGCCTGAGATCCGGACCCACGTCGTCTCAGGTGGGACATCAGTTCCATCGAGGTTGCAGATACACCTTACTGACGAGTGCCAACAAGCACGTAACCTAGGTCCAAGGCTTCCTTCCGATTGTCTCCGACCAACTAACATAAATTTTCCTGTTGGCTGTTCCTCTTCTTGACCTCTGACCCTTCTGTTGTTTATCGTTTTTCCCATTGGTTGATAGATTGGGTCTATGTCTATACATCTGTTGATTCCTGACTGACTGACTGTTCTGAATGCCAAGCTTCTACGAATTCTCTGATGACATTCTTTGTGTTTCCTCTGCACAAGATATCTACATTGCCAAAACTGAATTCCTCTTCAGAATTATCTACGTGCATTGAATTGAGTGATGCAATGTCGCGTCGTTTAATAGCCAATTGGTGCTCATGTATACGAAGGCGAAGAGAGCGACCACTTCATCCAATGTAGTGTTGACTACAGGGATTGCAGTTGATTTTGCGAATGATATTCGGTTTGTCTTCTTTGCTTGTTGCATTCTTTGGTCTGCATAATAGTGTTTGGAGGGGATTTGTTGATTTATGAGTGGCCACATGAATTCCAAGTGGTTTGCCTCAGTAATGTTGTTGTGATTTTTGATATATTCTTTATGTATGATAGGATGATGCGTTTATTGATTTCTGTGGATGACTTTGTAGTTGATGATGTGGGGTATAGGTATCTTTGGATAGTTTTGTGGGTAACCGTTCTTCTTTGGGGTGGACACCAAGTAACTTTCTTCGTTTCTCCATGAAGTTGTTGTGCTGCAGTGCAGTGTGTTCTCGCTCATTTGAATAGAGTGTGCAAGCAACTGATTGTGTGTTGTTTGGTTGTTGCCAGTGTAGTTGAGGATTTGGTCAGTTACTGTGTGTTTGCTTTCTGTACACTTGGGTTTGTAGCTTTTCGAGATTTGTCCTAGTGGCTAAAGCATCCAGGAATGGTAGTTGGTTGTTTGACTCCTTCTGCGTTGTAAATTTGATGTCGTTGAAAATGTTGATCAAACTGCTGGTGTCTCCTATACCATCTTTTTTAATGACGACAAAAGTGTCGTCCGCATAGCGAGCCCAAATTTTAGGTTTAATTGCAGGATCTGAATTCCCGAGTTGTTATTAGCTCCTGCACCAATGCAGACCAGTCATTCAGAAACAATCTGGATTTTGGTAATGAGAAAAGTATTTCGAAGATTCCTAATTTGTCACTCAAGACTATCTTGTTAGCGTGATTGCTTAACACGACTGTATGATTTACTCAGGTCGACCAAGTAGTCACTTGTGATAAGGAGAATCTATGTAAAAGGAGTAGACCACCATAAGTACCTCTATGACAAAATAAAATAGGAAGAGACAGTGGACACAAATCTTCTGATACCTCACTGAATGGTGATCTGACATCACCACAAGTCCTCAAGTTCACAGAGATTATTGGGGGGATGTATTTACCGACATCCTCTTTGGTGGGAGGCACTGCGATAAGACCTGTATCTATGTAATCGAATCCAAGTACAGCTAGTGTCGTGCTCATGTGTGTCTGTTTTTTATTACCTTAAATAGTGCGAATATCTGAAAACTGCCCGGTTTTATTGATCCCGAGCTCTACTGAGACGTCTGATTATTATGGGACCTAGTGTCTTAGACACTTTGACTCCCCTGTGGTTTTCTTTCTCAAGAGGACTTCTCATCCTCTTTGGATATTGAGAATATCAGTGATTAAGACGAGATACAGGGGATCCTATCGGATCCCCATGTGTTAGCTAACACTTCAGTTAACCTGGCCAATAATTGATGAATATTTTCCTTAAATACCGTGTGGTGCTGCTGCCTTTCTTCCTTCAGGTTATTTACAGCTTTCTCGACTTTGTAAGTGTTGGAGACCCTATCAATTTTCCATTCAGGATGCGACTAGATAGCCGGCAACGGAATAGTAGCTGGAGGCCAGTTGAACTTTCGCTCCAAGTGTCTCTGTCCATCGTTCTTGTCTCTCCCACCAGATTTTTTTATAAGTCTAAATAGCTGTCTACCGTTACCACTCCCATTTTCATCTGTCTTCACTGCCACTGCTAATTTCAAGTGCTTAGATTGTCAGCTTGCATTTGAGTTGCCTCCGCTTCTTATTGTGTTCAGAGCCTACATGTA